AAAATAAACAAATATCTGAAATAAGAAGGTTGTCATCTTTTTCTAATTTTAATTTTATTATTACGCATATATATGAATCTTTATTCTTTAGCCCAAGAAGTGATATAAATTAAAAAAGTTAAATTTCATAAAAAATATATATGTGATTCTTACCATGTTATAATAACTAATTTCGTGTAAAAAATAAATTAAAAAAGGTAAAAAAATTTATAAAAAAAAGAGCATTAAGGAAATGATATAAATGAAAGTAATAATCAAGATGAAGTAAGAAAAAATAATATGATTGATGATGAATGGAATTAAATGTAGTCACTTTGATATTCACTAAAATTTGAAAGTAAAATTTTACGTTTTTTAAAATTAAAAAATTAAAAAAACGAAAAAAAAAACAATAAAGAAAGTAAATAAATTTTAGGCCCTTAATATATATATATATATATATATAGACCTTAATCAAAGATATATTAAAGAAAATAAAATAAACTTCAATTAAATTTATATAAAAGAAAAAAAACTATAATTAAAGATAGATAAGAAAAAAAAAGTTTTAAGAGAGAAAAAAACGGAAATTAGAAATAAATGACAAATTAAAGTCTATTTCTGTATAAAAATGCATTTTTTTTATAAAGTTATAACAATTAATTTTTAAAATAAATAAATAAAAAGAACAAAGAAAGGAAAAAATTAATTTAAGGAAATGATATAAATTACATTAATGATGAGTTTAAGGAAGGAAAATTTTAAAATTAATAGCATCTATGATGAAAAGGATTTTAAATATGGTCATATTTAATATTCTGCAAAATTTCAAGGTAAAATTTTTCATTATTTTAAAAAAATAGGAAAAATGCACAAAATAAGAATTAGAAAATTAAATAAATAAACTTCTAGACACAGTTTTTAGCAATTATTTTAAGAAAATATACAAGAAAATGTCATAAAAATATGATAAAATAGATAAATATAGGTTGTCATCCTTTTCTAACTTTAACTTTATTGTTACGTATAGATATGATTTTTTTAGTAGAATAAATGATCTATGTTTAAATAAAATAAACTAAATTTCGTAAAATATATATGCAATTCTTACCAATTTATAATAACTATTTTCTTGTAACAAATAAATAAATAAAAAGTAAGAAAAAAAGAAAAAGGAAAGAAGCAATTTAAAGAAATGATATAAATGAGAATAAAGAGATCAAACTAAGGCAAGGAAGTAAAAAAAAAGTATGATTAACGATGAATTAAATTAAATATTCAATAAAATTTTAAAGTGAAATTTCCAGTCGTTTAAAATTAGAAAAAAATATTAAATTTAAAAAAAAAAACTACAAAAATATAGACAAACTTCAAGTTAAAAATATATAAAAGATAATAAAACAAACTTTAATTAAAGATAGATAAGGAAAAATAAATTAGAAAAACGTCTTAAGGAAAAAAAACAAAAAAAATGGAATTAAAATTTTGATAGATTTCTCCTTATTCTCCTCCTAATTTAATATGAATTTCATAAATAAATTGAATCTCTCTCGAAATAATTTTTCTTGCTCTTGGACCACTTATTATTCTTTCTACAAGTTTCTCAAATCAAAATGATTTTTTCTCTCAATACATAAAATTATAGTGCAACATCCTTTCAAAAACTTTTTATATTTTGAAGAAAATTGATTATTACATGATTTTTCTTCTTGCATCAGTATCTTCAGAAGTATCATGAGAAATCATCTCTCTCTTTCCATGAAGAAATAACATTCCATCATCATTAGAAGAAGAGACAAAGTAAAAGAGTCGCGATGTTTTTGTTCATTCTAAGATCTCTTCTCCTCATCTCTAAATTAGCTTTTAGTGTGTTGTGTCAATTTTGTTGTTCTTTTTATGTTGCTTGTTATCTCTCTTCTTTATGATTGTTGTTATTGTTTTGGTGCGTGTTGAATTTTTCTCTCACTGATACATGCATGTATGTTCAATGAAACTTGTTTGATGTTCTTCAAAATTTAAAGAGTAAAGAAGAGAAGGAAAATAAGTAAAACAAAAAAGATGTCTGAACACAAAAATAATATATTGAGAAAAACTATCAAACCATGAATTTTTCTATTACTCGCGACAAGAATAAACACATAAATAAAAATTGGTGGATACCTTTTACCATATTGTTTGAAATATATTGTGATTAGCTACTCTACTTTATAGATTAGTACCTTTTAAATTAAATTTGAAAAAACTTTTCAAATTCCTTAATTAAGTGATAAGGAATAAACTTTCAAATTAAATTTGAAAAAACTTTTCAGATTCTGTAATTAAGTGATAAGGAATAAATCCTCTTAAATTTTATAATTAAGGAAAATGTCTTTAATGGTAATGAATTGATAACTGAAGTTTTTATGTTTATGTTTTAATGAGGAAAAAATTAAATACTAAAATAATGACAACTAAATAGGAACGGAGAAAGTATTTTGCATCCATTATTTTTATAAGATTTTAAATCTAATATGAATCAATAACTTTTACTTTTTTCAATAATTAATATTTTTTGCGGTGTGATATGTTTTAACACTAGAGGGCATTTTCGTATATTTTATATAACTTTAATTTTGAACTACAAGATTGAAAAGTTTTTCTTACTCTTTTTAAACTTTGTATCAAATTAAATTAAATTAAATCATTCTTTTTAAAACGGAGAAATATACCTGATTCGTCCATTGTGAAATGGATGCCCTAAGCATAGCAATGAATTTGATAGAATCCATTGACTCCTTGATATGTACATTCGTGCCTCCATATGCATCTTCATCAGCCTCAAATACTTGTCTATTTTCCTCCATAACTCCTTCAAATATTGTTGAATTTCTTTGAACTTGCCTATGAATTTTATCAATAGATGGAGAACCTAACAAGCTTTATATATATATATATATATATATATACTAGTAAGAATAGGCCCGGCAACATGAACAAAGTATTATTGTAAATTTGTAAAATGATACATCACGTTATGCTTGATAATTAAATAGAGAAACTTGTTTGACAGAAAGTTGTTAGTGTATAGCATGGGCTCAAATATGTTTCTACTATTGAAAAGACTGTCAGATTGATATAGAAGATACAGTTTCTGTAAAATTATGAAGGCTATTGAATTCGCAGATTGATCTGCAAATGGAGTTGGGTGCATATCTGTGTCTTCAAGACTAATTCAAAGTGTGTGTGACAGAAAAGAATCTGATCAATCTCCCAACAAATGAAAGCGAATGAAGCTGTTGCGGTGAAAAACTTCACTGCAAATCCTATTACTTCAACTCACAAGAAGCCTTTGTAGAACAACATTATTAGAGACCTCAACATGATTATTTTCGGTTGCAAAATCATCAATGTTCATAGCTTTAGTAGTATCAACATTTTGTTTTCCAAATTAATATAAAATAGACCTTGTAACTCAATACATAAAACAACCAAAATATGCAAACAACATACCCATTGTAATCCCACAAGTGGGGTCTGGAGAATGTAATATGTATGCAGCCCCTGTTTCTTCAAAATATAAAGCAAAAATTAGTTTGGCAGTAATAAGTATTTATTCCGTGAAGAGTGGGGGTGTCAAATTTTGACCATAAAATATAAGATCAAACTTTGGTGGCCAAGGCTGGGGATATATTCATCAGCACATCAATTTGGGCACAATCAAATTCAACCAGTGTAAAAGTTTGGATCAATTTGAGGCACACTAACAAAAGGAGACCTTGTCGTTATTATCAAAGAAAGTACACCAATAAATCTGGAAAGCTAAAGTAGTACTACATTTACAATGAAGAGCACAACACGAGTCATAAAAATATTTATGTTGTTGTCCACAGATTCCCAAAGTATGGGTTATCTTGATCTATGCGATGAGAATTGAAAATCTATGTTGTTGTAAACAATCCGACCTTTTTATAACAACCACATCTCAGAATAGCTTTTTATTATCGATTGTTTATGTTTCTTGTTCAAAAGTCTGAATAGTAAAGTCTATTCGATTCAGTACTCCTTCAAAATCTCAATACTAAGATTTTGGGACAGATTCTCTGGCAATACTTCATCATTTTATCTGTGTTCTTTTGAAGTATGGACATCATATAGATCCTAATTGATTCAATCATTGTCCAAATATACTTGTATCTTACATGTAGAAGTACACTATTGAATGACTCGCATAAATTGTTTAATAACACATCACATTTTGGAAAAGAAGAGAAAAAAGCTCTTGACTAGTGACTTGGTGGCTTATTAATACACCATTCTAGAGCTTTTGGATTTATTTTTTCCATATTTTCATATGCTTGGAGAATTCAGGTTCTGTAGTTGCCCTAGCAGCTTTCTATAGGATATTCTTCAGTGATTGTCCTCCAAAACCTTCAGTTTTGAAATTATTGTGTAGATGTCTCACACAAAATATATGTGCAACATCTGGCATTATCTCATCAAATACTAGAGTTAAACCCTTTTGTTTATCAGAAATGAAAGTCCATGCAAAAGGGTTTTGTGATATTCCTAGGTCCTCATCAAGAAGCGTTAGAAACCACTTCCATGTTTTCTTTAGTTCACCTTCTACAATTGCGAATGCAATAGGATATATGTTGTCGTTTCCATCAATGCCTACTGTTGTCAATAGTTGACTCCCCTTTTGGTGCCCTTTCAAATGGCATCCATCAACCCCTATTATCGGTCGACATCCGGCTAAAAAGCCATGTTTGCAAGCTGCAAAACATATATAAAGTCTCAAAACTCTTTTTCTATCATTAACCATTGTTTTTGTATTTTCATCCAGCTTCAAAATACATGTAGTCCCTGGATTACTCCTCCTTAGCTCAGCACAGTAATCCCATAACATATCAAATTACTCTTCTTTAGTTCCTGTAATTAGATCTAATGCCTTCCTCTTTGCATATAAGCTTGGGTTCAAGTAATAGTACAATTATGAGTCCTCAACACATGAGTTTGAAATTCTTTTACTCCCCAACTTGGATTTATTCTAAATTCTACTACGTACTTCTTAGCCAAAAATTCAGAGTCAATAGTCTTGTTATCTCTTTGTTTGCCATAAGAATGGTCAGGGCCTATTGTCTTGATCTTGAAAGGTTCATCTTGATTAGACTTTGATGCAAATATGAACCATTTGCAACTTGACACCTTACAAATGGCCCTCGACCTTGCACTTGCGTTCTTCTTAAACTTGATGTCTTTTTTTTGGAACACAGCATGTACCTCAACTGCCCACTTGAATTATTTGCTATTGCTGAAAATCATATTAAGTGTAAACTTAAATTTTGGATCCTCCGAATCCCTAGTTGGATTAAAAACAGTGGATCTTTTAAGATTTTCATCATCAGAATCTCCATGTAAACTCATTAATTCCTCATCTGATGTAGCACAATCATTTTCTTGAGTGTCATTGGGAAACATAGCCAACATGTTTGAGGCAACTCCAACCTCCATCATTTTTCTTTAACTTGATTTTCTTTGTTTCTCCCATTAAGGCCAACCCATTCTACAGTAGAGTCAGCCGAATTTTTTAATCCAAAAAAATCATATCATCTCTTCCAAGGAATAATCAGAGTCATTAAATGACTCACATTCTTCACATGTGGCATCACTCTCATCACTTTTCTCTGTTACATTCACATCTATCAAATCTTCTCCACCTTGTAGTGGGTTGCCCTCAAAATCAGCTACATCATAGTTCCATTGGTCCTCTTCCGTGTGCTCAACAAATATTTCAACTTCTCTATTGTTAAGTATTTCGTAGACAAGGTTATTTATATCTATATCAGTTGTCAAAAGTCTTATACTCGTCTCAAAATAAGGCCCAAACTTGAACCATAATTCCACCTTTTTATCATTGACTTTAAAAATTTTCATACACTGCCTCATCTAAATAATGGAATTTTCATTTCCATTGCAATAGTCATAATAAGCTATATGTCCATTAACATAGTTCATCACTGGCTCAAACACCCACCAACCCTTATAGTGTAATTTAATGGTGTACATATATGAATCTTCGCCTTCATCTGTCGTGTAAAAGAAAAAGTAAAATCTATTAGTGTTATAACAATAAACATCTCCAATAGAAAATGTAAATGATACAAATCCAACACAAAAATATGTAACCAATAATGAAAATCTAAATTAATTTTGAATTTGAATTATGAAAACTACAGTTCTTAAAAAGTTGACTTATATGTATCATAGTTTATGATTACTTAACATTTAATTGTGTGCCCTTCTGAATTTTCAAATATGCTTATGTTATTCTAATAAGTGGAACAAACACAAAATGTAATATGTCATACAAATTTAAAATATTCACTATAAATATTAAATTTTTATAATTTTATAACTTTTGTTTAAAAAAAAATTGATATTTATTCTTTATGTGAAATATTAGTTGTGTTCTGTAACTCAACTTTTTTTTTCCAAATTTCCATATAATCAAAGATTTAGGCTATAAATAAATTAATTGAGTACTTACATGCCGGCGTGAATTGTAGCCCATTCTTGCTTCGGAGTTTCATTGTGAAATTGAATGATATTGTTTCTCTTCAATAAGTATACTGAGTTGTTTTCTGTGTTGCAGGAGTGTTTGGATTGTATTCTCATATAAATGGGGAGGCAACTAAAGAGAAAAATTGTTCATCAACAAACGAAAACACAGAGTAGTGTATGAGAGGATTGAATTCACATTCAAATTGAAGAAGGCAGTAGGGTTGAGATATGGTTGTGTATAAGAAAGGATGTTACGGGAGAAGTTATAAACTTGTTCTAGCTTTAGATTTTGTTCTCTGCATAGAAGTGTTTCTTGTTGTAATACCAAAATTACCCCTAACAGCAGTAACTGATATGTTTAAATTGATATTCACTGTTAGTAGAAGGACTGAAATCACTTGCTTTAATTAATTAAAGGTTAAGTATGATTAGTGAGATATCATAGGAACCAAAACCAAAATAAGACAATAACACAGGGACGAAAACAATTATTTTCTCTTCATTAATCAACGATCTATTCTAACTTTGGCAGTAGCAGGCCTAGTCTTATACGTAGTTCTTAATTCTTATTGCTAACATGATGAAACAAGAATGGTAAATAATTCTTTATTTGGTAAATCAGAAAACAAAATCCTTAAACTAATTTGGTAAAATAAATTTAGAGTCCTAATTGCCTTATAGGAGAGAAGAAAATTTTACCTTATTAGTAATAATTTATTATTATTATACTAATTACTACTATAGTATTACTTATCATGTATTATATTTTTATTTTATTTTTAGGATTAAGAATCACTTTTGATATAGAAACATTTAAATGATTTAAGTTTTATAACCAGTAAGCTAGTTATAAATATATTAAAATTGGTTTTTCCTTGAGAAATACTTGGTGAACTAGAATTGTTATTGGAACAAGATACATATTTATGTACGAAAATCAAATTGGGTGAAAGAGTTAAATTTAAGATATTCATAGCAATTTAGAAAAAACACATTTTGTTTATTTGAATAAATATATTATTGCATATATTGTAATTTTTTTATTTACATAAATATATTATTGCATTTATTATAATCCATTATTTATTATTTTTACATGCAATCTTTATATTGTCGCATGATAATCTAGTTAGATACTCAAACTAAGAGCATGTTTAGCATTGCTATTAAAACCTGTTTATTTGTAGAAGTACTTTTTTTAAAATCTCTTTTGAAACAATAATAATTTGTGTTTGGCTAATTCATTTGAAAATGATTTTGATAAGCAAATTATGTTTGACTAATCCTTTTAAAAAAGTGATTT